ATCTTGCAATCCCACTCCTGGGCATACATCCAGAGAAAACTATAATTCAAAAAGATACATGCACCCCAATGTTCATTGCAACACTATTTACAATAGCCAAGATGTGGAAACAACCTAAATGTCCACTGAAGATGAATGGATAAAGATGATGTGGTGCATATATACAATGGAATACTACTCAGCCATAAAAAGGAATGAAATAATGCCATTTGCAGCAACATGGATGGCCCTAGATATTATCATACTAAGTGAAGTAAGTCAGAAAGAGAAAGACAAATACCATATGATATCACTTATATGTGGAGTCTAAAATATGACAGAAATGAACGTATCTACAAAACAGAAACACACTCACAGACATAGAGAACAGACTTGTGGTTGCCAAGGGGGAGTGGGGGAGGGGTACACTGGGAGTTTGGGATTAGCAGATGGAAACTATTATATACAGAATGGATAATGAACAAGGTCCTACTTTATAGCCCAGGGAACTCTATTCAATATCCTGTGATAAATCATAATGGAAAAGAATATGAAAAAGAATGTATATATATGTATAACTGAATCACTTTCCTGTACAGTAGAAATTAACACAATATTGTAAATAAACTATACTTCAGTAAAATAAATTAAAACAACAAACCAAATACTGGTTTTTCATGATAGATGTTGCCACCTAACTCCAGTCTAATGAAAGGAAAGCAAATGGAAGTCTGCTGGTGGGTTTCTAGGTAAAGCTTTTAATTTTCTTTAAGCCACCATTATTTGGGTTTTCTGTTAATTGCAGAGGAATGTATTCCTAGCTAATACATGTTGTAACTCAGTACATTTCATATTACTGTCCTCTGGCTCATCGTAACTCACTCATCACCATCATGCTTAGAATGCTGAAAAGGTTCTGAAGAACCTCTTTTAGAAAAGGATATGTGAAGAAGTGGACCAGATAATTAGTCAACTCAATGGCTAAACTATACTTTTTATATTTTCCACGAGACTCCATCATTTCTCATATCAGTTCTTACCAAGTCTCCTATCCAGGTCGAATCATACCTACAAATTCCCAAATTAACCAGACCTTTTCAAACTTCATGTCTTCACCCCTGATATCCTCTTTTGCTTCAAATCCCTTACATCATAAACATCTTTCAAAGACTCATTCAAATTTGACCATTTACTTACAGGCTTTTCCCATCCACCCTCTCGCCTACAAAACTGACCACTCACTTGTTCCTTTGTGCTATTTCAGAACCCTGTACAGAATTCTGTCACAGAACCTTGTAAGATTTTACTATAATTATTTTGTTTAGCTGTCTCTCCCCTGTAAAGATTGTACATGCTTTTGTCTACCACTGTTAAGTAGTTATAGGGGCTACACGGTGATCCCCAAAAGATATGCCCAGGTTCTAAAATCCCAAACCTGTGAATGAATATTACCTTATATGGCAAAAGATGTGATTAAGTTCAGGTTCTGGAGAATAGGAGCTTATCCTGGATTATCTAAATGAGTCCTAACTGTAATTACATGTAGCCTCATAGAAAAGAAGGAGAGAGAGTTTGGGATGCAAAAAGAGGAGGTGACGTGAAGATGGAGTAGAGAGATACAGCTATATGCCAAGGAACGCCAACAGCCAACAGAAGCTAAAATAGTCAAGGAATAGATTATCCTCTAGAGCTTTTTGGAAGGAGTGTAGCCATATCAACACCTTGATTTTAGACTTCTGGCCTCCAAAAGTGTGAGAAAATAGAATTTGGTTGTTTCAAGTCATTCAGTTTGTAGTAATTTCTTAGAGCAGTCACAGGAAATGAGTACAGTGGCATGCAGTAAATCTTTAATAAAGAAATCAGTAAATGCACCCACATCAGTAATAAAAATGCAAATCAAATAAACTTGAGATTCCATTTTCACCAAGGGAACTTATACCTAAAGCTGGCAAGATTAGGGTAAAACATTCCCATAATAACAGTGGTGTTACAGAGTGATCTAAATTTTCTCTAGAAGACAACAGAGAAAAATGTAGTAAGTGCCATAAAAATGTTCATCTTCTTTATTAGTAACACCATGCTTGGCCATTACCTTAAGAGAAAAGTTCAAAAAAACACACATCTGAAAAAAAGAAAGAAAAAAAAAAAGGAAGGAAAAAAACCAAGCAAATATTTACCAGTTCTTACTAATAGCAAAAAAATTCAGATTGCAAATAACTAACAAAAAAAATGGCTCAAAGACTTCTAAATTGTAACTGAAGGCTTACTTTTACTTAGCTTTTTAGTTTTAATAACATGAAGATCGTACAATACTTTCTTGCTTAAAAGAACAAAAAATCTTTCAAAGTACTCCTATTAAAAAGATTAAAAATAAAACTTGCATTTGTTATACAATTTATAAGCACTTTGACTTAGATTAGACCATTATAACTTTGAGCCTTACAGCCACCTACTCAGGTAGGTAACATTATCATTCCCACTTTATTATTCCCAATTTATTGATGAGAAAACTGAGATTTAGAAAAATGAAATTATTTTCTCAAAGTCATACAAATAATTATTGAGCTCTCACAATATTAGGCACTATGGGATATAACACTGAAAAACGTAGTTAATAATTCTTGACTTCAGGGAGAGTGTATTTTAGTGGTAGAGCCACAACCCAAATCTAGGACTTTCCACCCCAAGTATAATACTTTTTTTTGTTTGTTAGTTTTGTTTTAACCCTCACTATTTATTTGTTTGAACTTCACATTTAGGCATCTACCATATAACTGTAAAATTAAAAGTAAAAAAGATGGTTCCCTGAAGGGACTTGCAATATGTAGAAAGTATTTATAATCTAGTGGGAAAAGAACATAATGTACATGGTATAGTGGGTTGAATGATGGCCTCCCAAGATAGGTCTATATCCTAACCCCTGGAATCTCTGAATATGACCTTATTTGGAAAAAGGGTCTTTGTGGTTATATTTAAGTGAAGAATCTCAAGATGAGATCATCCTGGATTATCCAAGTAGATCCTAAATCCAATGACAAGTATCCTCATAAGAGACACACAAAGTAGAGGCATAGAGAAGGACATGTGGAGAAGGAGGTAGAGATAGAAGTTATGTAGTCACAAAGCAAGGAATACCTGGAGCTACCAGAACTTACAAAAAGCAAGAAAGAATTCTCTGCTGGGAGATTCAATGCAATCCCTACCAAAATACCAATGAAATATTTCATGGAACTAGAACAAATAATTTTGACATTTATATGGAACTATAAAAGACCCTGAAACAGTCAAAGCAATCTTGAGAAAGAACAAAGCTAGAGATATCAAGCTCCCTGGTTTCACACTATATATTTCAAACTGCATTGTAATCAAAACAGTATGTTACTGTCACAAAAGCAGACACATAGATCAATGGAACAGAATAGAGAGCCCAGATATAAACCCATACTTATATGGTCCATTAATCTACAACAAAGGTGACAAGGATATACAATGTGGGAAAAGACAGTCCCTTCAATAAATGGTGCTGGGAAAACTGGACAGCTACATGCAAAAGAATGAAACTGGACCACTTTCTTATACCATATACAAAACTCATTTTTGAAACCATAAAACTAGAAGAAAACATAGGTAGTATGCTCTTCAACATGAGTCTCAGCAGTATTTTTTGGATATGTCTTCTCAGACAAGGGCAATAAAAGCAAAGATAATCACATCAGACTACAAATTGAAAACCTTTTGCACAAGCAAAGGAAACCATCAATAAACAAAAAGGCACTCTACTGAATGGGAGGAGGTATCTGCAAATGATATATCTGATAAATTGTTAATATTCAAATTAGAAAAAGAACTCATATACCTCAATATCAAAAAAAAATCTGATCAAAAAATACACAGAGGATCTGAAAAGACATTTCTTCAAAGAAGATTTACAAATGGCCAACAGAAGCATGAAAAGATGCTCAACATTACTAAACATCAGGGAAATGCAAATCAACACCAAAATAAGATACCTCACACCTATTAGAATGGTTATTATCAAAAAGACAACAAACAAGAAGGGTTGGCAAGGATGTGGAGAAAAGGGAACCCTTGTGCATTGTTGGTGGGAATGTAAATTGGTGCAGCCACCACAGAAAACAGCATGGAGATTCCTCAAAATATTAAAAATAGAACTACCATACGATCCTGCAATTCCACTCTGGGTAATTACCTGAAGAAAACAAAAATGTTAATTTGAAAAGTTATATGCAACCCTATGCTCATTGCAGCATTATTCACAATTGCCAAGATATGGAAGCAACTTAAGTGTCCATTGACATACAAATAGATAAAGAATATGTGGTATATATACACAACTGAATATTATTCAGCCATAAAAAAGAATGAAATCATGCCATTTGCAACAACATGGATGGACATAGAGGGTATTATGCTAAGTGTAACAAGACAGAGAAGGACAATCTCTTTGATCTCACTTATATGTGGAATCTAAAAAATGAAACAAACAAAACAGAAACAGACAATATGGACACAAAGAGCAAACTGGTGGTTGCCTGAGGGGAGGTGGACGGGGGTAGGGTGAAATAAATGAAGGGGATTAAGAGGTACAAACTTCCAGTTATAAAATAAGTCACAGGGATATGATATACAGCATAAAGAACATAGTCAATTACACTGTAATAATTTTGCATGGTGAAAGATTGTTACTAGACTTATCATGGTGATTTATTTCATAATGTATTTAAAAGTCAATCACTGTCTTGTACACCTGAAACTAACATAATACTGTTATGTCAACTCTACTTCAATTAAAAAAAGAAAAAGGGGGGAAAAAAAGGAAAAAAAAGAATTCTTTCCTAGGGCCTTCAGAAGGAGCACAGCCCTGTCAACACCTTGAATTGAGACTTCTAGCCTCAACAACTGTGAGAGAATAAATGTCTGTTGTTTTAGCCATCAAGTTTGTGGTTAATTTGTTACAGTAGCCACAGGAAACTAATACATATGGCATAAAAGATTATTACCTTTGTGATTTTAACTGCTCTTCTCATCTGCTGCTGTTCCCAAATATCCTGATATTTTTTATCTTCTTCACTGTCTTCACTTGTTTCTTCATTTCTGGTTGCTTGAAAAAAAAGTTCATGTATAAATATTCCATATTTTTCCATTCTAATAGCAGCAGCAATTAGCAATTGGGGAGCTTATAAATGGCTTAGCAGCTCTTTATATGTGTTAACCTTTTCTTCACAATTCATAATTCACTCTCTCTTTATAAATAAAGAAACTAAGATATCAGGATGTTACATAACACAGTCCTCTATCTAAGGACTGTGTTGAACCTAGGACCTGAATCTAGCAATCTGACTTCAGAATCTGCATTTATCACCAAACTGTCTCACTCAAAACATGATGGTCTCACATATGAAAAAGCTTGGAAAAAATGCAATATTTGGTTTTATCAGAGATTCTCAATTCTACCTGAGAATCTAAACACGCAAAAATAATTTCTGGGTTAATAGGAACCAAAAGTCTCATTCTGAAATAGTATTATTTGAAATGACAAAAACTTGGTAAAACATTATTGTTTATAAATGAGAAACGTGAAAATAGTTCTTTGATACCTAAGGATTATTGACTGAGGAAAACTTTTTACTAGAGCAGGGGAGATTTTAACACATGACACCAAAATCCTACCGATGTTTCCATGTTAAAAAAAAATCTTATAAAGGTGACAACAAAAGTTTTCAATATCAAAAATAGGAAACTCTACAAATTTTTTAACCTGTCAAGAAAGATCAAGTGGAGATCAGATAACAGTAAACATTATTATTTCATGTACCCTTTGATAACATTTTGATACAGACATGTATTTTAGAAGCCATGATGTCAGTAAATTGGTATTTAAAAAATAACTTAAACAACCTTTAGAATAGGAGATACTACATTATGTTTTTATGGATATTTTTATCATAAATTATATTCTAATGAAAAATGCCTTAATTTTCATTTATTATAAATAAATTAAATATGTACCTGTTGTTTCAGCCATCTTTTGTCTAAGTGTTTGAGGCTTTGGGGTAAATGGCATTATATTTTCATGACCATCAGGCTCACTCTCAGGATATTCAGTGTTTTTCTTCATACCAGAGATGGTGAAGGCATGTTTTACATCCAAAGAAATATAGTCCTCTTGGGCCCTGGCCAATTCACGTTTTTGGTAGGCTGCCTGAATAAAAGCTGCATCAGGGATATTTACTGAAAGAAACAAAGAGGAGGACATTGAAAACAAAATACTAACAGAGAGAAATATTCCTCATATTTAAAGGAAAAGAGCACCGTTTTTCCAATTTTTTCACTATTTTGATATAATGACTCAAAATCTGTTTCAATAGAAAATAATTATTTTGATAGAGATTAAATATAAATTAAAGAAATGAAACAAATCTAGAAGTATCAGAAAATATTGAAACGACTCCAATTTATCTTTTTTCTACCTTCTTCATCAGGTGTTTTTGCTGACTTTTTGTTGAGGGCTATTTCTCATTTCTAGAAGCTCTGAAATTATCAGGGTAGGGATGTGGAGAGGGCTGAGCATGGAGTTACTCTTGGAGCATGGAGGGTAGAATGATAAGTGGTAGAGCAGTCTGCCTTATAAAGTAACAGGGACATTCTACTATGACCTGCCCCTCGCCTTTGGGCATCCAGGCACATAGGAAATGAGAAACAGACTAAAATCCAGCACACATTCAAATCAGCCTCCAAGGTCCTGTGGCGATTCTCACATGAATAAACATAAGTTAAACAGTATAAAAGAAATAATCAGGTAATTTACCAGGTTTAAAATACTTAGGGGACAACATCTTTTAATAGAGGATTGTTTTATTTTTTCTTCATTTTATTCAGTACAAACTTCATTAATATAGGCTCTTCTCACTCAGAACAAGTTTCTTCATGCATGATCTAAGCTGAAATTTATCTTTACACTCTGGAAACAAATGGTTTCTTAAGCAAAATACTAAGGTAAACAAAATAGCAAGAGAAATCATTGTTTCAAGCACTTCAAGATATTAATTAGGGATACCAAGCCACTGAGTAAAATTTTCTAACCTTTCCCACAAATTGGTCCAAATCCTTTGAGAAATAAATAGAAAAGACGCCATATGCCAGGAGATACACAAATACTCTGATTTTTGAAAGAGATAGAGAGATTTCAGAAATTATAGATCAATATACTTGACACCAGAACTAAGGAAAACAAGTAGTGCTTGAATTAATTATGAAGCAGTAAGTGATGAACACTAGAAAGCAACATAAGCTCATTAAAAACAAGGAATATTAAATAAGTGATTTACTTTTTATAGACTAGAATTTCTTGTAGAATAGTACCAGGAAAATGATGCAGGTAAGGTGTCTCTTCATCCTCCCAAAACACTCAGGATAATGGCAGCATTTCTTGACCCTGGCTATATGCATTAGAATCACCTGGGAAGGTTGATAATCTGATAACTAGTCTCCCATCCAAAACACGGGATCTAAATGCAGTTGATCTGAGGTGGAGTTGAGCAGCAGTATGTTTTTATAGCCCCCTAGGGGATTTTTTTTTTTTTTTTT